AAAGCCAGATTTATTCAGCATCACAGACCCCGGGACTTTGCTTGTCCCCACCTGTCATCACTGCCTCCACTTTTCGGCTCTGACTGGAAGCAGGGGACAATTTCTGAGTGCTGGCCCTCAGTGGGACCCATTAACGCCAGGAGAAACTGTGGACTTGGATCTAACTTGGAATTCTTCAGAGGTTTCTTGAACTTGCTCTTTGTCTGATGTTCAGGGACTCATCCCCAACCCCCGAGGGTCATTCAGTGCCTGGGGCTGTGTCTGTGCTGCTGAGCTGGGCCGGGCTCCTGGCACACAGGGAGCTCCTGGCAAGCGGGCAGCGCTGCAGAGACAGCTCTGCCCAGGAGCAGCTCCTCTGCACAGCCCAGCAGGGCTGAGGGCACTGCCAGGGCAGCTCAGGGACACCAGCAGGGCACAGACAGAGCTTCAAGGGGCTCAGGGTTGGGAGGGTGACTGAGAGCTCCCTGCAGGAGGAATCTTGGCAGGGCTGCACACGGGCAGTCTGTGGCTGCAGGGCAGTGCAGGGGCAGCTCCTGGAGGCATCTCCTAAAGCTGGCCCAGCCCCAGCCGATGGGATGGGTGAGGAGGGGGCTGTTGGGGGGCACTTTGGCAGAGCTGTGAAGCCGGGGGTGCAACCAGGGGTGCCCAGGGCTGTGGGGCAGAGCAGGGTCCTGCAGCCCAGGGTACTGCTGGGCAGGGACTCTGCTGCCTGCCAGGGGCAGCTCTCAGCCGGCCCAGGGAGCTGCTCCAGGGCTGGGGGAGAAGGGCTGTGGGCAAGGAGCAAACCCCAATTGACAGGGGAAGGCAGGGCAGGGCCCTTCTGCTGTCGAGACGGTGCAGCACATGTCAGGAATGATCACAGCTCCAAATGACTGCTGGGGGTTTCTAAGAGGAATTTTCAGGAAATGCAGCAAGGCAGGGTGTATCGAGGAGGGGTTACTGTATCAGGGAAGTCCGATATATACAGACATGAAAAACGGACACCGTTGCTAGCTCAACAAAAAAACCCCAATATTTATTACAAAAGATGGCCAAAAAAAAAAATGAACAAACCCAAAAGGAGGAAGGAGGAGAGAAATAAGCCCCCAGTTACCCAGCTGTTGCCCATAAAGTTCTCTTACCGACCTAGCAGGCCTATAATTACCCAGAGCAGAAGCTGCATCCTTGGAGAGTCAGTAAGTTCACAAACTGGCAGGTGTCCCTGCCAAAAGGCAACGTTGTCCTTGGTGTGAAGTTAGCTCTTCCCAAGAAAACACTATTCTACTTTTATACAATTAACTGAGTGACCACAGCCTCCCAGGTGTGGCCAGCACTGCCCAGCCCGAGGCCCTCAGTCCCACCCCTCTATTCTAATATTTTGGGATCTGGACATGCCCAAACCCTTCTGTTTTCACAATTTTGGGGTCCTGGGAGTACCTAAACTTCTCTTTTCCAGGATTTTTTTTGAATCTGGGAGAGCTCAAACCCCCCTGTTCGTAGGGGTTCAGGAGGCTGACATTTGTCCAAACCCCCTTTTCCTAGTATTTTGAGGGTCTGAGAGTGCCCAAACCCCACTGTTCCCAGGATTCTGATGGAGTCTGGGAGTGTCCAAACCTTCTTTTCCAATATTTTGTGCTCTGGGAGTGCCCCAAACCCCTGCCCCTCAGATTTTTAGGGTCTAGGAGAGCCCATACCCTTGTGTTACCAAGATTTTTGAGGTCCTAATGTTCCCAACCCCCCAGTTCCCTTGTTTTTCAGACACTGATGGTACCCAGACTCCTCTTTTCCAAGACTTGAGGAGCTGGGAGTGCCCAAACCCCCCTGTTCCTGGGATTTTCAGAGCCCCCTCAAAGCCTCAGATAACCAGGACTGCAGAGAACTGGGAATCTTTACTGGGAAAACTGGAAGCAGCCAGCTGGGGTGAGAATAAATGCAGGGAAGGGGGGACACATGACCCCCCCAAACTCAGCGTGGGGCTGGACTGGGGGGTCCCAGCTGGACCCGAGGCCACGGGGAGGGGCTGCGGCCGCCGGCGGCTCAGGAGCTCTGTGGGGAGAGAAAAGGGGGTGAGAGCGGGGTGGGGAGGCAGGGGGGGCACAGAGACTGTGGGAGAGCAAGGGGGGGAAAAAACCCCCGGGGACCCCTCTTTACCTTCTCCCGCAGGTAGAAGCCGAGCCCCAGTGCCAGGAAGACCAAGCCCAAGACGAAGCCCCCGACCCCCACCAGGATCTTGCTGCGGACGGTGTCCGGTGGCATCTCTGGGGGGACCCGGGGGGGTCAGCACCCCCAAAACCTCCTCCCACGCACCCCCCAGCACCCCACAGAGCCCGGCCCGCTCTCCCCCAGCCCACCCTGCACCCCATGAAACCTCCTGCCAGTCCCTTCCCAGTCCCTCTGCAATCCCACCAAGACCCTCTCAGCCCCTTTAGGACTCTCCAACCCCCCTCTTATCAGCCCCAGCACCCACCAAACTCCCTCCCAGTTGCCCCCAGTTGCCCCCTTTCCCCCCCGGCCCCCCTGCCAGTGTGCCCCCGGGGCTGGGGGGGCCGGGCCGTACCCCAGTGCCGGCTGAGGGGGTGCTCCAGGCTGACGTGCTCCACCTGGCAGCTGTAGGTGACCCCGCGCCGGGGGGGGATTTCCAGCAGCACCAGCACCTGGTAGCTCCAGTCCCCGTTGGGGACCACGTCGGTGGAAAACACGTCCTCCAGCACCTCCTGCCCATCCTGGAACCACCTCACCTGCACCGGCGCAGGGTAGAAATCCATCACGGAGCAGAGCAGGCGGCCGGGGCCGGGCTGGGAGCTCGACGGCACCAGCGAGATGGACACGCTGGGGGGCACTGGGAGGGACGGGGGAGACACTGGGCTCAGCTGGGGGCACTGGGAGGGAGGGCAGAGGGCTTGGAGGGCGTTGGTAGGGATTTGGATGGCACTGGGAGGGACTGGGATGGTAGTGGGAGGGACTGGGAATAGAGCGGGGGAGAAGGGCATGGGCTGGGGGGCACTGGGGAGAGAGCTGGGAGATGTGGGAGTGAAGTGAGAACGACTTGGAATGGAGTGAGAGTGTCTGGGAGTGGATTGAGAGGGACTGGGAATGTCTCGTCTGGACTGGGAAGGAAGCGATCGGGACTGGGAGGCTGAGTCGTGGTGAGGGAACTCTTCGCTTTGGGTCTGCCTGGCAACTGGAGCGTCATCAGAGAGACGCGCTGGGATTGGCTGAGGGGCGTGAGCTCGGTGGCCCCAGCGGGGTGGAGACGCGGGGGGGCACTGGGAGAGACTGGGATGGACTGGGATGGACTGGGAGGGGGCAAAATGCCACAGGACGGGCACAGGGAGTGCTGAGGGGTCTGGGGTGATTCTCAGGGAGAGTTTGAAGGGCTCTAGGCAGGGGCCGAGGGGACCCGCTCTGTCCAACGCTCACCTCTCCTCTCCACGCTGAACGAGCTGAACAGCTTGTAGTTGTGCCGGCAGTGCCTGTCCACCCTAGCCCGTATGTACTCCATCCATCCTTGGTTCCGGTTCCCGTACCTGGCCAGGATCTCCCCATACGGGGTGTCCCCCACAAAGACCCCCACATCGCTGTCAAAGTGCATGAACTGCTTCCGGTTGTAGACGAACCTCTGCACAAACCTCACCTGCTCGGTGCCGTTGATGAAGTAACACTCGCACTTTGCCATGTGCTGGAACACCCCTGGGTGTGCAGGACACAGGACAGGGGGTGCCCCGTCCCCACCCATCATCCCTCAGCCCCCCACAGCACGTTGGGAGCTCAGGGGGCCACCCCGAACCCTCCTTTCCCACCCCCCTCTGCCCCACGGACGCCCCAGCACCGGCTCTTGGCTGGGGGGGAACCCCCCCATCAGCCCCCGAGGATGGACAGGGGGATTGAGGGACCCACCTCCAGTGCGGATCCGACCCCCACAGAGCCCCAGGGAACCGATTCAGGGCTCAAGGGACACCCAGGGACCCCCATGGCACCCCTCTGTCTGCTCTCCCACACCCCCTTGCCCCCCTCTCCCACCCCTTTCCCACCGTCCCCCCAATCCCCAGACCCCACCCCCTCCCTCACTTTCGGGTTCCCATCCCTCTCCCACTCAGTCTGGGCCTTCCAACCCCCCTCGCACTCACTTTTGGGGCTCCCACACCCTCTTTTCTCCCCTCTTTCCCCCCTTTCACACCCGACCCCTCTTCTCGCCCCCCCTGCTCACCCGACAGCTCCTCGCCCGCAGCCGGGGGGGCTCCCAGCACCACCAGCACCGCCAGCACGGCCCCAGCTCCCCGCACACGCTCCATGCCCAGCGCCGGACAGCTGCTGACAGCCCCAAACCAGCCGGGCGGCGCCGTGTTGGGGGGTTTGGGGCGCGCTGGGCTTGGCTGAGGGCGCAGTTGGGGCCCTTTTTTCGAGGCGTCTTCCCGGCGACTGATGAGTCATCAGCGCGGCGCGCTGGGATTGGGCGCGGGCGGCGTGGGCGCTTTGGGATTGGCTGAGGGCCGTTGGGGGCCCCCGCGGCAGCCCCGGGGCTGGGGGGTTCGGGGGGGTCCGTGGGGGAGGGGGAAGCTCAGGTGAACCCAAAAATGGGCATCCAGGGAGAGCAGAGAATTGGGAAGCTTTACTGGGAACATCGGGAGCAGTCGGTTGGTGTCAGAACAAAAGCAGGTATAGGGGGACACACGACCCCCCCAAAATCAGCGCGGGGATGAATTGGGGGGTTCAGGCTGGGCCCCCTCATCCCTCTGAGGACCCTCTAAATCCCTTCTCAGCCTTTCCATTTTCCCACAAAGCCACTCCCATACCCAAAAGGCTCCCACAAAACTCCCTCCCAGTTGCCCCCAGGACTCCCCAAAGCCCCTCTCAGCCCTCCCAACACCCACCAACCTCTTCTCAGCCTCTCCATTCCCTCCCAGACCCTTTCCCTTACCCCCCAAACTCCCTCCCAGTTCCCCCCACGGCCCCCAGAGCCCCTCACCCCCCTCCCAGTGTGCCCCCGGTGCTGGGGGGGCCGGGCCGTACCCCAGTCCCGGCTGAGGGGGTGCTCCAGGCTGACGTGCTCCACCCGGCACCGGGGGGGGATTTCCAGCA